AGTTGGAACATGTGATTGCCAATGAGGTTTTCCTGGGCTCTGTCATCTCCTGGGGTAATGATTATGGAATTATACTGGTATGGTATAGAAGTGCACTACCGAGCCATAAAATGGAAGCTAAGCCACTCTAGAGAGTCACAGAGATCCTTAGCTGACTGTGTTTGAGCACGAATTAGGGACCTTTGTTGTTTTAAGTCTCTGAGCTTTTCCTAAGACTTGTTATTTCAGCACAACCCAATAAAACCTAATACACCACTGATGGGGAAATATGCTGTGAATTTATATACCATTGGGAGGAGAGATGTATTTGATATGATAAGAATTCAATGTAAGATGCATCTTAATATCAGATATGTTAAAATGTGAAATGTGGGCCTTAGATTAAATAACATACAGATTGTTAAAGAAATTCACTAAATCAGATTAGCATACTGTTAAGAGCTCCAAAGCTGGAGTTGGGCAGGAAGTTATGAATTCAAGTCCTAGTACTTACTGGCATGTGTTTTAGTAACTTGTGTAATCTTTAGCTTCTTTATCTTTGAAATGGGGATAATTAACATGACCTCAAAGGATTTTGTGAATACTAAGTGAGATAATTCCTATGTGTTCAGCATAGAAATGTATTTTTAAAAATTTTAACTTTTTCTTGTTATTATAAAGGTGATGTACAGAGGGGTTACGTAAGTCAGATAATGAGTGCATTTCTTTTGGGACAATGTGACCCCTTCCCTTCCTCTCTCCCCATTTTCCCTTCCTGTCCCCACCCACAAGTTATATAGTTCACTTTCAACATAATGCCTAGTGAATTACCATTACTGCATTTGTTCCTCCATTTTATGTGTGCTTTAATTCTGAACTTTGGCTAGATCTCAGAACTTGTTCAAGATGAATACTAATTTCAGATGATATACAAGAAAATATTCTATATTTATTCATTCATTCATTCATTTGTTTTGCTGGTCCTGGGGTTTGAACTCTGGGCTTCGCATTGTCCATGAGCTTCTTTGACTCAAGGCTAGCACTCTACCTCATGAGCCACAGTGCCATTTTAGAATTTTTTTTTTCTGAGTAGTTTATTAGAAATAAGAGTCTAAATGGACTTTTTCCTGCCCAGGCTGGATTTGAACCATGATCCTCAGATCTCAGTCTCCTGAGTAGCTAGGATTACAGGCATGAGCCACTGGCACCCGGCAGGAAAATATTTTTAGAGTGCACTAATTAATTCTTGGAGATAACAGAGAGGCAGATCCAGAGGGGATCTGGTCAAAAGAGATCACCCCAGTGACTTCCCATCTATTTTCTGATAAGTTTTCTAGGTGAATCAAAAGGCTAAAATGATCATCAAGAGCAGTCTTGAAGAATATATATTCATATATATGAACAATCCTTGTGCTGCATCTTGGTGACTGGCAGGGGTAATGAAAGGAAAATTAAGGGCAAATTTTGTACATTCAGAACTTAGGGTCTGTATTGTGTGTGTGTGAGAGAGAGAGCTAGATGGATGAGGATGGAGAGGAGAGGGAAGGGAAGAGTGGTAGAGAAAAGACGAGTGGGAGAGAGGAAGAATGAGCTGGACCATAAGGGTAAGTCAATGTAGCAGAGTGTGGCTCTTCCGCAACGTATTTATGTATGGTTCCTGCCCATGTGGCACAATATTCTTACAGACTATGAACACTATTTTGCTTGAAATTTCAAATTCATAAAGTACCAACTCTTAATAAAACTGTCTTCATCTGTAGTTCATTTGAAAGAATTTAGCCATTGACACTGCAACAATCCTACTTCTGAAGTCCATTCTACACCTAAAGTTTGCCTCATATATACTTAGTTTCCTTGTCACTAAGGATAAGCATTCTGTGTCCAAATACAACCTTTTTACCTCAGTTTTCTGGAGAAGATGTGTCTGCAAAGGAACAGGTGGCTGATTAATACATTTTAAAAATTAAATTCCTAAATGCCTGGACTGTTTTCTTTAGTCAGCTTCTCCAAAGGAAGTGTAGCTGCTTCAACATATAACACTGGGCTATAGTTCATATTCTCTGTTTACTTTATTCTTGTGAAACTGTATCCTAAGACTTGGGGTATATAACTTGTTATTTGATATCAGCTGAACAACAGTGAATCAATTGTAATAGTTGTGGCACCAAAAGAAACAAAGGGACTTCCATGTTTCTAAAAGAAAAAAACAAAAGCAAAACTTCCCCCCACTCCCACAATACACCACAAAAGCCCTTTCGTTTTGGTTCAGTTAACAACGTGTCTTTCTACAGTTTAAAATATTCATAAATCCAAAAAGTTTTCTATTTCCCCAAGTCTAAGGGGAAAAAACCTACTCCAACTCACATATTATTTGTCAAATATTTTAGGATGAATTTAGCTTTAAAAGCCCAAGGTTCCTTTCTCTCTCCCTCCCAGCAGTTACCTTAAGGGAGACACTCCTCATGCCCCCCCCCCCCCCAGATGGCCGCTGTCCCCCCAAGGGGATCAAGAGAGGAGGTGTAGTGATGCAGCCATGCAGCCCACGTGGCTCATCGTAGGTGTTCCCAAGTCACCGCGGGCTGTGACACGGCTCTGGGAGGATTTGCGGATCTCTATCCTGTATAGCCCCTCCATCTCCCCTCCAGATGCTACTGGGAAATCGCTGTTCTTTAAAGTACTCCAAAGTCTTCATCCTATTCTCTTGATTCTTCTACATCTCTGCTTGCTTACAGCCCCAGGGATTTTTAACTTTTCCTGGACGCAAGAGTTTCTCACCGACTCGGTGCTGGCGCGAGCGGGCTCCGCTCAGGCCTCCTGGCTTGCCTGGGATGTACACCGCCACGCGGAGCGGGGTGCGGCGGCTTCTCGCTCCCCTGGCACCGGGAAAGGAAGAAAAGAGGCAAGAGGAGGTGCTCAGCCTTTCTGAGGACACTCCCAAAGGAGTTGGGCATATATGCAAACAGAATGATGCTAAGATGCAAACCAGGCAACGTGGAGGTGCTAAGCCCTCCTGGCCACGCTCTCAAATACCCCTAATTGACATTTAAGAAACGAACAACGCTAAAACGCAAATTGGGCAATGTGGTACCCCCCTGAGCCTCACCTGACAGGCCGAAGTGAGGTTTTAGGGGAAAGCTTACTCATCCCTCCCCCATACACACACTGAATTCATTCTTTGAAAAAAAAAAATGTGTAATTTTAAGTTCCACCGCTGTCATAATGAACACTCCACAGTAACTGGCAGTGGAACAATGGACACCCCCATATCACATTGTGTCAGGTAATTACAAAGTGCCGCGGCGCGGGAAAGCTGGGCTAGGAGCTTCAATGGTGCCCTGCAGCATGCGGGAGCTCTCGGTGCCGCGGCTCTCGCCCAAGCTTCAAGACAAGGTTCGTGCCAATGTTTCAATCCAGACCGAGGGACGGATGCAACCGGACCTTGGCCCCGGGGGTGGATCGAGGGGACTCGCACTGCTCCGGAACGCGGGTCGGGTCGTGGGGAGAGTGGAATCGGGTGGGGAGAAGGTCCCGCCGGGCGTGGCGAGGGCCCCAGACTCCTGGGGAAGGGATCTCCGCGGGACCCTGCGCTCCTAGCAGCACCCACCCACTACGTCCCCTCGTTCGGGTTAAGGCTAGGGCACCTTCATAAGGGGGCGCGCGGGGTCACGCGGTAAAGATGTTACTTGTAGCGGGACATCCGTGTGTGCGGAAGCTAAGGGGAGGAGGGGGGAGGAGAGAGGGAAAGAGAGAAACGGAGAAGGGGGGGGGGGGGGAGAGCAGACGCAGGCTGAAGGCCGAGATGTCCTACTTCTAAGTCATTCTCTCCAAGGCAAGCGCTTTCCGGCTGAGCAGTGGAAGGGCGCGCCGCGTTAAAGGCCACCCAGACAGGTCGCGGACCTCCTCTAAGGGGGTTCCAGCCTCGGGGCGCTCGGCTGTGGCCCCAGGATGGGGACACTATCCTGACAGCTGAGGGTTGGGTCAAACCTGTGGTTTCCTTCTCCCGAGCCTCTGGCGCTGCAGTCGGAGGCGGCGAGCGCAGCCGGCCGTCCCTGCAGCTGCCCTCTCGCGTGGCGCCCTCGCGTCCCCGCGCCCGTTCACGGCTCGACCTACTCCCTTCACCTCCCATTCATTTTTCCTTTAGCCGCGACTAGCACCGGCTCTAAAGCCAACTCCAACCGCCCCACCACCACCCGAAGCCCACATCCCCGAGTTCAGGAGAAAGGGCCGGGGTCGGAGCCGGCGGCGACAGCGACGCACGGGAGACGTCGCGGAGAGGTGGTGGCCGCGAGGGGCGCCGCGAACCGCCGTTGCCCGCCGCGGATGAGCAGGCGGCCGAGAGCAGCCCCCGGAGCCGCGCAGCATCCGCGTACCCAGTGACGGTGGAAGCCACGCCCTCTCGGGAGCGGGGGGCTGTGCTAGCCCCCCCACCTCCCCCGTTCCCGTCCTGCTCCTCCCCCTCCCCCCCTCCCCGCGCCGGCCCCCGGCCCGCCCCCGGCTCGGCTCGCGGGAGGCGCTGGGCGCCGGGGCTGGCGCGCTCTGCCGGGCGCACACACACATCCACGCACGCACGCCCAGAGCAGCTCTCTCCTCGTTGAGCCCGCGTTCCCCTCGCCCATGCAGACGGACAGAGCGACGGAAGATGGCTGACGACTCCGTGGGGCCCCGAGGATGCAGCCCGGCGGCAGCAGCGGCGGCGGCGGCGGCGGGAGCGGCAGCAGCGGCGGCGGCGGCGGCGCGGGCAGCGGCGGCAGCGGCGGTGTTGGCGGCGGCGGCGGCGGCGGCAGCAGGAGCCGGAGCGGCGGCGGCGGCATCCCCGAGACTCCCCGAGCTACCTTTCCCTCTGACAGCCACTGACGGTCTCCGCCGCTAGAAGAGACCCCGCGTCTCCAGCGCCCGCCTCTCCCCCTCCCTCCCGGCCCGGCCCGGCCCCGCCAGCACCGCTACCTCCGCCAGCTTTGCCACCATCAGCACCACCTCCACCACCGCCACCACCACCACCACCACCACCACCACCACCGCCACCGCCGGCGGCGGCAGCAGCCATTTCATCTCCACAGAAACCAGACACAAAAACATGGCAGAAATGGAGAAAGAAGGGAGACCTCCGGAAAATAAAAGGAGCAGGAAACCGGCTCACCCAGTGAAAAGGGAGATCAATGAGGAAATGAAGGTATTTTTGGACCTCGGGGGTTGGGAAGACCGAGCTCTTTCTTCCGTCCGCTCCTTCTGGGCTGTTGTGCGGATTTGGGGGGATCCAGGGGCGCGCTTGTCAGTTTCTCTGGGATGCCCGGAACGCCTCGGCTCCTCCTCCAGGTGCAGAGCAGAAGCCAACTCGCGGGTTGCTTCCCCGAAATGTGCCAAGCTCAGATTTGATGAGGGCGGGGGCGGGGGGGGGGGTAGGGAGAGACCACATACTACTTAACGGTACAAACCCCGGGATGGTACAGATTTGTTTCAGGGACGGTGCCCCAGGGGCCCCAGTGGTGGGTGGGCATGACGGACAGGCTTTCCCAGCGGGTAAAACCATCCTTCGGACCCTTCCAAAGTTGAGAGCCGCCCGGCCGAGGCACCTCGGGGAGAGCTCGATGCCACCCCTCTCCCTAGTACATCTGCCTGCTTGGTGATGTCGCTTCGCCCCGAGTCGCCAGGGGTGACCGTGTAGCGGTTGTCAGTGCCCGCTCTGTGGCGGCCTGGGCGGCGCGGGTCTGGGACGGTCCTGCCCGCCCGGATCGCCCCGCCCGCGCCCGCCTGGGTGCTCTGCTGTCTCCACCCGAGCGCGTGTCTCTGCCCGCCCCGCTTCCTGGGTCAGCACCCCCCTCCCACACCCGCCCACGGTCCCGCTGAACGCTCGATTTTCGTCGGAGGGACGGCCTTCGCCAGCGCTTGCCCATTGTTCAGGAAGGCCGGCCCGGAGTCCGCTCAGCCGGCCGAGGCCGGGCTCGCGGCCAGGCCAGCGGTGCCCCAGAGGTGGCGAGCGCAGCCGCCCCGCGCGCCAGCTGTGCGTGTTTGGAAGCGATGGCCCAAGAGCACCCCGCTTACCTCCGGACTCCCCTTGTCGCCCCCACTCCTTTATTAGATTCTGCGAAGTTGCGAGGGTTAGCCTGGGCGAGGATTTTATTCTCTGTTGATTTCACAGGTTTCTCTTGATTTTTATATTGTCCATTTTTCTTTTGTCGAGTTGAAAAAAGTAGCGGGTTTTCTGTCTTCTCGGTGTTCCTCATCTTCTGAATAGAACCCGCGGGCTGCCAGGTGATCGTGTCAGGTTTGGTGAAGTTTCTACTGGAAAGACAAACTGGATTTAAAAACGCCATGCTACTAGGTCACTTTTTTTTTTTTTTAACTGCGTTTTAACGTCGTCTTGGTTAGGACAAGCATATTCTGTGACGGTGCCTCGTATGAAGCTCACACTTAAAAGGGGACAGATGGGTGTACATCCGTGTTTGTGTACCTGGGTGCATATGCTTAGCCTTACCTTCCGCCTAGAAATGTCAGTAGCATGCTAATTTTTGGAATTCGAGTTTGTATTTCGGGGTGAGAAACTTAATGCCTTCAAGCATAAGGTGCAGGATGGAGCCAAAAGAGAAATAAGGAAGATTTGCTTGGAAATTAATGCCAGTCCCTGTAATGGAAACCACCATTGATTAAAAAACAAACAAACCCCCAAACCAACCAAAAGACTAGTAAAAAGTTGTTTTCTTTCCATGAGGGTGGAATTCAGTCTACAATAACCAGTTTCCCTCACTTGCCCTTCCTTCCCTCCAGTCCGGCATTTACAGATTACTTTTCCATGTCATTTTAAATTGAGGGTATAGGAGAAGAGGAGAGAGGTGAAGGCCACTAGGAAATCACAGCATGCACTGGCCCTTTAAAACACCGCCTAATGTGATCTATATGGATGGCAGCTTTTAAGTTTCATAGGTTCTAGAATTACAAATTAGCTAATTTTAATCAAAACATGTGAAATGTTATCCCGGCTGGATATAATGGCTGACTGTGCTCCATGCTTGGGGCTCGTGTTGTTGACTTTGGCTGCAGGCAGTACTCCGCGGTTTGGGAGATAGTTGTCCTTCTACAGTATAACAGATGTTTGTCTGAACTGGTGAGGAAGAAACAAAAACAACATTGTATGAAGGGGAAAAATTACACAATTTTTAGCCAATGCTGCGGGACTAAGTATGGAATTAACCTTGGTGTGCAGAATTTCCTTTTGAAAAAAAAAACGTTATATTTTTCTTCCAAATCACCACTTACTATTTGAAGTTTTAATCCTCATCATTTCGATGCAGTGTAGCATTAAACAAGAAGTTTTATACAGGAAATAATTCAATTGCCTATAGGTTCAGTATTTCTCTCTGGTTTAGAACAATGTGAGAGACCCCTGGCCAGAATTTTCAGTCATGTTCCTGCACATCATGCCAATGTGTCTAGTGGAACTGTTTTGTAGGCAGTCCTCTAATATAATAGCACCAAGAATCCTTATTTAAAGTGTTTTCTCAAAGTCCAAAGGGTTATTTTAAGCTCATTAATATTTTTCTGCTTTTGATATTAATAATTACAGACACAAAACTCCTCCCTTCACTTCATGCTATTATTACCCTTCCATGTCCCTGAACATGAAGTGTAGGGTAACATAACAAGTTGGTTACCCTGTATAAAAATGTGTGCAACAAAATGTCACCCAGAGTACAATGTAGCCTTGTGCAGCTTCCTATCGGTGCCGCTGGAACTGCCTGGCTGTGTTTGCCTTCATCTGAACGGCTTTCATCTGGACCAGTGTAAACTAAGCCCTGGTAAGTAATCACTGCCCAGCAGAAAGAAAGGAATGTATACAGCTAGCGAGGCCTAAGCTGTAAAAACGGAAATCTGAGCCCCCACTTCGGATCACATATCAAGGCTTGAAGGTAGGGGAAATGAAAGGGGAAAAGAGGAGAGAGGGAATGGAAAAGTCAGCCTGGGAAGTGAAGGATCAGGGGGAGGCCTCCCTTAGGGAGATTTGGCTCAGGGATTAGGGAATTTTATCATGGTGTACAGTGACCTACTCAGGTTTCAACACTGGTTGGATCCAGTTGCTTCTCTGTGAGCTGAAAGAAAAAACACTGGAGTGTATGTGATTTTTTTTCCCCTTGTGGTAACAGAAAGGACATTGGTACAAGTATCTATTTTAAGTACAGCAAAGGCAAAGCACTGAGAATGAGCAACAAATTTGCTTCATCTCAGATACTTCCTTCAAGATTTCCTAATTGAGATAGTCGCATATTTATGTAAAAGGTGGTTGGAGAAGACATACTGGCTGAAGTTTAGCTGACATCAGTAATGGCATTGGAGATTGTCTTCATGTGGCTGGGAGCTAATGTTGGTTGCTGTTTCACTAGATCAGATATTGAGTTACATTTTCGTTATCACTGGTATAATGTACATGGCAGTTGTAACAAATTTAAATTTGATACAATATAATTTTGTGTGTGGAAAGTACATGACTTGGCATAGCTTGCCTCTGGCATACTTCAGTGACAGTATCTTGAAGTAGAAATATTTGTCTCTTTATGACCTTTACACTGTCTCTTAATCTTTCCTACTTTTCTGATTTTTGATTAAAAAAAAACTGATGGTTTTGTTGTGTTGACACAACACAGTAGAGAGGATTTTAAAACATCCAATGGCAATGTAATTTACATTTTGGCTATTATTAGTTTCTATAAAAAAATTTTGTCAGTTATGGGGCTTGAACTCTGGGCCTGGGCACTGTTCTTGAGCTCTTCAGCTCAAAGCTAGCACTCTACCACTTGAGCCACAATTCCACTTCCTGTTTTTGGTTTCTAAAGTGAATATTGGGATTTTATCTACTGTAGTATATATCCTTGCTATGCTGTTAGCTCACATGTGTCATAATAAATGTATATCCCAGAGGAATCCCATCATATGGAAGGGTTAGTTTCAGGAGTTCTTCTAGAACATGGTAGACATAATGTACAAACTAGTTTGTGTTAGTGAATGTGTAAACGTATGTTCAAGCATAAATGCTAGTTGCATTTAAGGATATGTATTTCGCACCCAAAGATCTTAGTGAACTGTCATCAGTATATCCCGAACAACACAACACAAAAAGTGTAAAGTGTGAATAGAGATAATGAGTCAGGTTTTTATCTTTTTAAACTCTGACAAAGCTAATGTGATTGGATCAAGTACACTGTCCTGGAAACTTTCCTAAACAAACCATAATTAATGTACTTATAATATTTGGCGTCTTTATCAACTACTAAACTACAAGATAGTCTATGCTAACTGTCACAGAGTCTTACCTTTACTAGAGGAAGTTTCTGTCTACAGATATTCTCAGTAAGTAATTTGTACCTAAATTTATGCTTTGGTCCTGTTGCCTGCAGTTTGGGGCAGGCACATCTGGTAAAGTTTAGTAGGAAACTTACCACAAGTTTTCTAGTTTGGTCTACTGATGGTCTCCATTTGGCATTAAAAATGACCTATGTCAATTGCATAGACAATAAGGCAACTGCAGTGAGTTAAGTAGCTTGATGTTTAAAAAGAATTAGAGAAGTCAGAGTGAGAATTGTAAAATTCAACATGTTTAAGATCTAAATGATCTCATTATTTAATCAGTTATATTTTAAGATTTGCTGCTGAAATGCTACCCTGTTATATTAAATGCATCAAGGAACTTAGAAAGCAGGCCTGGAAGCACATCCCACTGAGACATTCACAAATTGTATCAGACCTTTCTTGCTGAATGATAGCTTCAGGTGCACAACATGAGAGGGTTAGGGGCTAATAAAATCAGGACAAGGACCTTGCTCTTTGGCAGCAGGTATGGGATGTTCCTGTGCCCTTGTCATTGCCATCCATTGTCCAGCTCAGGCTAAACCCATAAGAGACAGTCCTGAGAGGACTTGGAGAGCTATGCATTGTGCTCTATTCCAACAGAGGTTTCTGGGTAGGCTCTCTTTCACCATCTGTGAGCCTCTGATTCTGATGTGCCATAGAGCACCATTCTCTCTCACAGGTTCCAGAGACAAGGAAATGGAAAGGAACCTCTCCACTTCCTACCAAATCTGAAATAAACATTTGAACTAGAAGAAAATGAGTCTGACAGACTCGTTCCCTTCTGCGTTTCCTGCCTCTGTGCTTGCCAAGCCTGCTCTGAGGAGCCAAGCCCTA